GGACAATACAGTGTAATGCCACCCAGATGTTTATCTACTGTAGGTATCTGGTTAATTGTCTGGGTTGGGGTGGCTTCTCACTTTCTCAGCATCCGGTATTACTTAAACTATTGAAATAAAGTCGGTTCGCTACATTTACGCGGGTTTCGGATTAAAATTTTTATTGTAAGTACCCAGTTTTAATTACCTGCTCTTTGGGGAAATATCAACTGGTTAAATGAAATGAAAAATAATCCATAACTTTTTTTAATTAAATAATAATGGAAAATCTTTTATATAAATGACAGTATAATAAGGAGAATTACTTCATTAATGGAGTCTAATGTGGCTAATATAAACCTAATAATAATTTTATATTACACTTCACACAGAAAATATGGTCTATGTATATTTGTTCCATGAAGAGAATTTCTAATGAAAAATAAAAAAATTTAACTTGCCAACAAAAATGAAAATCAGTCATTATCATCAAAAATAACATAATCGTCATCATCATCACTGTCATCACCATTGTTATTATGATTGGACTTATTTCGTTTATTTTATTTTCACGAGTCCACCAATCTTCTATTAGTTTCTCGCACTTGAATATATAGTTGCACCACACTTCTGGGAGTTACAATTATTGAAAGTGCCTTTCGCCAAGTTTCCCGAACTGCGTCGTCGCTATAACCGTTAGGCTCAATATGGTTGTCATAATATTGTTTTGCTATTCCCCATATATATTCGATGGGATTAAATTGGCAATGATACGGTGGCAGACGTAAAACTTGATGACCGTAACTTTCAATAATCTGATCCACAACAAAGGTTTTTGGTTTTGCGTGGATATTTGCCAAGCGTAATAATTCTGATTTTAAAATATGTTGTGTAAATGGTATATGTTCCTTTGTCAACCATTCTTTAATTTTATTAACAGTCCAAGAATTCGTTGGACTTTTGTTTAATACTTCAGAATGGCAAGGTGCATAATTGTCTAAAATAATTACGCTGGGCTCACTTAAACCTGGGAGAAGTTTTTCATGTAACCATTTTACAAACATGTCTGTGTTCATATTATCGTGATAATCACTTGATTTTGATATAGATGAAAATATTAAATCAGCACCTTCTATAAAACCCGATTTCCCTCCTGCATGTAAAATTATGTGTCGCTTCCCTTCTCCATCAGTATGTTTGATAGACTTTACGTTATCATCTTGCCATATTCTCTTGGTTGCACCCCTAGAAAATATCCGTGTTTCGTCTAAATATATAAAATTTGCCCTTTCTTCTTTTAATTTAGAATATTTTCTTAGAAAGTTAATTCTTTTATGCACAACAGAACTTCTTTCACAAAGGGCTTTTCTGTTATCCTCCTTTTGAAATTTGAAACCCAAATTATGTATCACTTGCCACAGACTTGTTCTGCCAATTTCGTCAAATTTTTTAATTCCGAGAGAATTGTATTTAAGGTTACATGTTCCTTGATGGCTCGCATTCGATAAATGGTATCACGAATTTCAAATTTTTTTCCATCTGGAATATCTTTCGTTTTCAATGATAGGCGAGTTTTTCGGTGATCTTCTTTCGGCCGTTCATTATTGCGACTTTGTAATACTCCTCTTAGTTTGGTTTCACTAATTCCTAGAGCATCACATATGCGTTGTTGAACAGACATTACCGATTTTAAAGGACCGCCATTTTCTTTTTCATCCGTAAAATACTTATGTATTAGACTATCTACATCTAACACACGTCTAGGCATTTTTAAATATTTCCGCCAAACATACAATGTCAACACTGGCAAAGAATCAATTCAACTGCAATATTGTAACAAATTTATACCTACCCTAATGTTATTTTAATGTATTTTAAAATATGACCATTAACGCAGTTTTTAACTAATTTTCTGGGAAGTCGTTTACTGCAACTGGTTATCAATGAGTCATTAGCATAATTTTGTTAATCCGAAACCCGCGTAAATATAGCGAACCGACTATAGATAGATATGCTACAATGTGTCAAATATTGCAAAATATGTATAAACAGTAAAATATGCAATTGTTATAAAACCCGGCCTATATTAGCAATAATATATGCTTCCTGTCGAGTATTTCCAATAAACACTTGACATTGAAAATAGCGCGATTTATTTTACCTCTAACGCCGCGAGATGTTTGTAGTAATAAAATTTTACGACTTCCTGTAATAGCTAGCACAAATTTTGTTTATTTATAATTATACCTTTAAAGAACTGAAAACTTAAGAGTATAGCAGAACACTGTATGTTCAATGCAGTAAGTTCAATAACGAAAGAGCAATATATGCAAGAGAGGTTATCTTAGGAGCACCCAATTTTATGACCGTAATAAGAAAGGTGGCGACGATATCATAATAGCGCTACAGCACCTTATAAAAGAAATATGGATACAGAAGTCCCTTCCCAGTGAGTGGAATATTGGAATACTTTGCACCATACACAAAAGGAGAGATATCTTTGAATGCTCTAACCATCGAGGAATTACACTCCAAAATGCAGCGTATAAAATATTCTCCAATATACTATGCCACCGTATGGCACCATATGCAGAGCGAATAATAGGACAATACCAGGCTGGTTTCAGAGGGGGTAAATCAACAATTCATCAGATTTCAACCCTGAGACAAATTCTAGAGAAAAAACTGGAATACAGTGTAGACACACACCACATATTTATAGACTACAAGGCAGCCTACGACTCTGTAAATAGAAGAGAATTGTTTAGAGCAATGATAGACCTAGGAGTACCAAATCAGTTGGTAAGTCTGACCAAACTAACCCTTGAAAAAGTTGAATGCAGAGTACGAATCCAGGGGGAACTCTCTGAACCTTTTAAAACAAATAACGAGCTACGTCAGGGAGACCCACTCTCCTGTATAGTATTCAATCTAGCTCTGGAAAAAGTAATACGTACGTCATAAATCACAACTACCGGTTCAATATATAACAAATCTGTGCAAATCCTAGCATATGCTGATGATATCAATATTGTTTAGAGAACGGAAAACTCAGCACGAGAGGCGTACGTAGCACTAAAGGAAGCGGCTACAAAAATGGGTTTAATAATAAACACCAATAAAACGAAATACATGAAAATAGGTACGTAACCACAAATAGTACGGCCACTTGTTATAGAAAACGACGTCATCGCAGCAGTTAACGAATTTGTATACCTGGGAACGCTCGTCAATACTGAAAATGACACTACCTCACGAGATAAACCGCAGAATTTGCACGACTAATACATGCTATTTTGGGCTTAATCTCCTTTTTAAATCTACAGTTATATCAAGAAATACAAAAGTAAAACTCTACAAAACAATAATACGCCCAATTCTAACATATGGTTCAGAAACCTGGACTTTAACAAAAAGCAATGAAAACATGTTATGATGTTTCGAAAGAAAAATACTAAGGCGAATCTATGAAGCGGTGAATGAAAATGGTGTCTGGAGAAGGCGATACAACTTCGAATTCTATAGAATATACCAGGAACCAGATATCGTAAAACATATAGGACGCCTGAGTTGGGTAGGCCATGTAATGTAGATGGAGCAAACCGACCCAGCTAGAAAAACGCTCCTTGATAGACCTATTGGTCAAAGAAGAAGAGGAAGACCCAGAACAAGATTCCTAGCTAACATAGACCAAGATATGGAAATATGGAAATACGTGCTTGGCGTAGGAAGGCGATGGATAGGGACGACTGGAAGAGAATTCTTGGGGAGGCTAGGACCCACACACGGCTGTGAAGCCAAAATGATGATGATGAATAAGAAAGGGGGAAAATTAAATAAGTGCTGGAGGCTGTAGCAAAAATCGTTAAGAGATTTTATAGAGAGAGAGAGAGAGAGAGAGAGAGAGAGAGAGAGAGAGAGAGAGAGAGAGAGAGAGAGAAAGAGAGAGAGAGAGAGACAACAGGGGTAAATTTAAATAACAGAGAGAAAAGGAAAAGAGAAGAGACAGTATGGCTGCGCGTGCAAGAGGACGGTCTGGAAAGACGGGAACGCGTAAGCCGAGAGTGGTTTTAGTTGGTAGGCATTGTACCATGAATGCATCCGAGGGACACATCCCCAAAAGGGGAATTGCGATCGGATGTACTCCGTCTACTCTGAATCCAACTTACTCGAGGTACGATTCACCTGATATGGTGTTTAGAAGATTCCCACTCAAATACAAAAAGAATCTTCCTCTATAATGTTGTAGTTATTTTTTTGAAATTTCTCGTTTATTGGTTTTTTTTTTATATATATTTGTCCTCTTTTAAGTAATATATTTTATAATGAAGCTCCTGTTTCGAATTTGTTGTGTGTGTGGTTTAATTTCATTTATTTTTCCTTATCTGTCTGCATAGAAAATTGTTTTACTAATTACAAGATAGTGATCTTATCCACAACCTCTTTTAACTCTAATATCAACCTCCGGGCACCTATTTTTATTTTTTAGTAAATTTAACTTTTATATGCAAATAATAATAGTTAACAGATTTACTCATTTGTTATATTCGCTTATAAACTGTGTGTCATTATAGAATACATAAAATTTAATTAAAGTTGAAATTATTAATTAAATGAAAATACTGTAGAATACCGACTGATTTTCCCGCCCTGTATAGTCTTCTATTTTTTCAAATGCGAAAAAGAAGAATTTTAAATTTGCAAGTACTTCAGTTCAATCGAGTTGACATATATATGTCAACAATTTGGAATTTGGCGCAATTAAGTCAACGAAGTCAAAGTCAACAGTATGAAACAGACCATTTTTAAAAATACGAATTAACGAATTTTACCCATAAATAAATAAAAAGATACTGTGTTGGTCAATATATGCAAGTGTATAACAAAAATACCAGTGTTTTACAGTGCGTAGTGCTAAGTTAAAGTCTTGTACTTTTTTCCATTTGGACATTATACAAGTTTATTGTAGTTTTTTTTTATAAAAATTAAATTTGACCTTTGAAAACTTTCATAAACTTTAGTGAAAATTTGAATTTAAAAATGATTCTCGAGGACATGGAATGTTTTCTTCCAAACGACTGGGAACCCATGAATTTAAGAAAGGAAAAATTCAGAATTGTATGTCTCCATCCTAAAAGTAAGGAATACGACATGGTGCACACTTATTTTATAGAAAATACTTCAGAGCGTTTTTATAGAGCAATACAAGGTATTTATAAAATACAAAATCCATTTTTATATACAAAGTTTATGCTAAAGGCACATGAATATGAACAAAGAGGTAGCTATGCTGCTGAAAGATTATTCCATGATACTGCTCAGGAGAATAATGAGTCTATAGCAAGTTATAACTTTGACTGGCGTTACGGCGAACGTATGAAGTTTGGTCCAGGTGTTTATTTTTCAAAAGATGCTCATTTGGCGAACAAACATTCATCTAAGAACAATGGTAAATTTAGATCTGTATTCATAGCAAAAGTGCTGATACAGAATGTCCAGGATGTTGACGGAGATATATTTTTACCTGATTTGGGGTATGATACTGTTCTTTGTCACCATAGGGAGACCTATGTGAAATATTTTGATGGGGATTATTATCCTGAGTATATGATTGACTATGTGTGTCGTTAAGTTTATTTTTTACTTGTATTACAAACCAATGAAGAGTATATTTTAGATATTTTGCTAAATTTTCTAGCTTCAGAACAGTATTGGTAGGTATAGTCAGTAAAGGAACATTGGGTATTATCACTCAACAAACAAGAAATTATAAAAGTATACTTTTCAGTGATTTGTTTATTAGTAATGTACACTGCATATTTTTATTACTTTGTTTTTTATAAGTTTAAACTGTTTATGTTGATTTTCTTTGTTTGAATTTTATTTTTTAAGTTTTTTAAACCTTTTCTTTTAGTGAAGTTCATCAATACTAGTTTGTATGTATAGTTACATAATATACTCTAAATAAGGAAAAAGATCTTGTGAAATATCAGTTTGCTTGTAGGGATGGCAAGAACCAAAAGAATTGAGATCTTTTTATTTGATTTATGCAGAGAAAAAATGTAGGCGAACTAAATAATTAAAAATTAGAAAGAATCTTCTAGACTTCTTGTATAGCCTACATTTATGCAAGCAATGTGCAAGCCTACATTTCTTGATCTTTAAAAATGTTTCTAAATTCTAATTTGTATTAATCCCCATAGGCAAACTGAACTGTAGTCTAGGTGGGATCTGTCGAAGAAAGGAGTCTATTTTTTGTTTGAATCACTTCAGGATGTACCTTGTATCAATAATCACAAAATGTGCCAGTCACAAGCCTTGTGCTTAATTAATTTTTGCACCCATAACTTGAGAGATATTGCTCCTACAAAAAAATTTATAGAAGGTAAAAGTTTCGTTTTTAAATTTTACATAATATTTGACTAGCTCGAAATTGAAAATTTAATGTTTATTGTTTAAAAAATAGCGATAGTTTAAAAAAAGTGCCAAAAAGCCTTTTTCTATATTCAGATTGCAGAATATAGGCCTCTCCTAATTCTCGCCATTCATCTCTGTTGTTTGTAAGATGTTTCCACATTGGTCCTGCAGTTTTTTTAATATCGTCGCTCCAGCACATTTTGCGATCTTGTTAGTGATCTTTTGGCTTCATATAGCCGCCAATTCCCAATTTCTGTATTCCATCGGCCATTCTTAAGACATTTCGTTATGTCCAGCCCATTTCCATTTCAATTTAGCTGCCTGTTCGACAGCATCTTTGACTCTTGTTCTATTACGACTGTTGTCATTGGTTCTATGGTCTTTGAGTGAGATACTCAGCATCAGTTGTTCCATACTCTCTGAGTTTTTCTGATCTTCTCCATGTTTATTTTAGTGAATGTCCAGGTTTGAGCTCCATATGTAAGTACAGGTAGGATACAGGAATTAAACACTTTGGTTCGCAGTCTTTGAGGTATATTTTTATTTTTAAGTAAGTATGAGAGTCTTCCAAATGCTGCCCATCCCATTTTTACACTTCTGCTTATTTCGGTAGTCTGATTTTCATTGCTTACCAGATGATGACCCATATACCAGACTTGACCCAGATATGTATATTAGTCTACATGTTCTATCTCTGTCCCTTGGATGTTTATCATAGGTTTGTCATCTTTGTTTGGCATTAGTTTAGTTTTGCTGAAATTCATTTTCAGTCCTTTTTTTAGGGATTCTGTATGTAGCTCTTCAATCACGGTATTCAGTGCATTCCACATGTCAGATAAAGATATCTTCTAGGGCAGCTATAAATAATTTTGGAGATATTGTGTCTCATTGTCTTACGCCTTGGTTGATTTTTACTGGTCATATTTCGATGCTATTACCCAACGTCACTATCATTTCAGCTTGATCATAAACATTATGTATTAATATTCTGTACCTGGAGTCGATCCAGTTGTTGACTAATGCTTCTATTGCCCACAGTTCTATGATGTTAAAAGCTTTTTCATAATCTATAAAAGCCAGACATAATGGGAGATTGTATTCTTTAGTATTTTCTATTAGGATTTTCAAAGTATATAGATGATCACAGGTGCTGTACCCTTTTCTAAATCCGTCTTGTTCTACTGGTTGATATCCGTCAAATTTAATTGCTAACCTGTTTGTAATAATCTTTGTAAAGTTGTGAAAGAAGTGAAATTAGTCAATAATTTTTCAGGTATGTGGTGTCTCCCTTATTATTTATTAATATTGTTTTATAGGTATTCCATTGTTTGGGTATGTTGCCTTAGAATAGACATTTATTACATAGTATTTGTAGATATGTGATGATTTCTTCTCCGCCTTCCTTCAGCATTTCTGCTAGGATTCCATCGCTTCCAGGAGCTTTATTCTTTTTATTTCTTTTAAATGAAACTTTTACCTTTTATAATTTTTTTTCATAGGAGCAATATATCTTGAGTTATAGTCGAAAATATGTGCACAAAAAGCAAACATTTTTGATTTTGTTCAATAAAAAATTAAGCACAAGGTACATCCTGAAGTGATTCCAGCAAAAAATAGACTCATAGAAAATGACCAATTCAAAACAGATCCCATCTGAACTACTGGCGAACTAGTGTTAGATAAGTTTATTATTATATTCCTTAGCATTGTTTTAATCATTTTTGAACAAAAATTGATGAAAGCTCTTGACATAAAAATCGCTTTGATTATTAGAGAGATGTTTCATTGACACTTTGTTGATATTCTGTATTTACTGCTGAACATAGAATTCTTTGATCACTTGTAAATTTCTATCATTCGACAAGCATATTCATTAATATTATCATAATGCCTAGATCACAGCCCTTGAATAATCACAGCCTCGATCTTTACTTTATTTGTTTTTTGCACTACAATTCCTGGATTTTCCTCATTTGCTGGAAATGAAGTTTTTTGTTTTTCTAAAAGAAACATGAAAATTTTGTATTTTAATATAATTGGAATAAAATCAGTAGCTGATCTTTGAATTTTTCGCTTCATTGGTTCTAGTGATATAGTGAGTTTCATGTTCTAAATTCAGAGTAATTTTCTGTTATCACAACTACATTACTCTAATCTTCATTTTTGTCAAACTGATGCAACACCTCATCTCCATTATCTTCAAATTCTTTAACCATCTTTCCCAAACTTTTGGCCATTCTACTTGCCATTATATGTTACTAATTCACAAAAAATATAAATATACACAATACAAAAATAATTACTTAACTAATTACTAGCCTAATCAGTCTTCTTCACTTCTTCAGCATTTCTAATGAACTGACAATAAGGAATATATGCAGTCTTATGAAGCAACCATGCAAAAAAGAAATGCAAACACAGTTTATTAATGTTTGGAATACAAACAGACATTCATATTGTAACTCTTGTGTAAATATTTTGCTCTTTCACTTCTCCAATATATTTTTAAAATTCTCCATTGGAAACCATTCATGAATTCTTTGTTTGTCTATGTTTCTCTTCAATATGTTATCAGTAACCCTATTACCGTTTTATACCCAGTCATTTTTTTATTTTCTTCGTTGACGTTACCCCCTGGCGATTGCTCTTAGAGGTATGAAAGTATCATATATTCATGTATCCTAGATACATGAAAGTATTCACATCTAATTCCCTACTATCAAGTATTAATCTAGATGAGACATATTTTTCATTTTTTTTTTAAATGATATTTACTTCAATCTTATTTTCACTACAAATACCCTTAATGATGAAAAGCTTCATTAAATGACTCTACAGACCTTGCGATGATGTTGATGTCACCTATGTATCCGATCACATTTACAGATACATTAAAAATTGTGTCATTTCTATTAATCTGGGTCTGCCAAATTACTTTTTCCAGTGCAAGTTTGAATCAACTTCACCAAGGGGACAGAATACCCCCTGTTTTAGTTCATTTTTGCACTAAAAGGGCATTGAAATGTCATTCTTGATTCTATATGTACTTTTGAGTGATCATTCTATTAGCTGAACAAGCTAAAGTGATTTTTGAAATTCCACTGTAGCCTGAAATGGTTTTTGTCTATCTCCTTTATCATATGCCCATTTGAAATCAACCAATATGTGGTGGGTAACGACTTTGAACTCTAGGCTTTTCTTAAGAATCTGTCTCACAACAAAGGTTTATTTGGTTGTTGATTTATTAAACTGAATGTCACTCTATTTGTTCGGTATAGTGAAGTATTCCTTCACACTATCATGGAGATTATCACAATCATTGTTATTTCTCAATTTTAGAATAACTTCTTTAATTTCTTCTTCAGTCATAAGCAGACAGAAACCTATATTTTGTCTTCCTCACTATTGGCTTTTATCAGTTCTTCAACATGCTCTGCCCATCTGTTTAATATGTTGTCATTGTCACTATTTATAGAGCCATTCTTGTATTTGCAGGCTGTTATTCTAGTTTTGAATTCTTTTTTACAACTTTTTTTGTTCCTGGAATTTTAGAGGGATGTGTAACATTTTCATAATCTTTCAGGGTTGATTGCATTTTTGGTAACTAGTCCTTATTTTTCAAAATATCTTAAGGCCCTGTGTGCCTTACATTATTGCAGTTAGCTCAATGTTCTCCTATATTTGGGTTTCCACAAATTTATGTCAATGTATCTTTACTATTTGTGTCAATGTACATCAAAAATTCTTGTAATTATCTATTTGAAACTAAACTGTTCATGAGCAGTGATTAAGACAGTGTATAGGTCAAATACCAGTGAATAGACAAATCTTTCAAACAATTTTTCTCAAATCTTTATCTGACCCATCAATTTTAATATTAAAATTAGATTCTTTAATTGTAAATACATAGGAGAGAGATTTTCAAATATTTTTGTATTCTAGTAGTAAGATGTTATTTAGTATAAGTGTTAAGAAGACTGTTAAATTTAATATCCTAAAAGATGTCTCAATAATGTGATTTGATTTTATCTAAAATATTATCTTCTGGGTTTGGAGTATTATAGTTTTAGATTGAAAGATTTATTAATTATGCTCAAAGTTACCTTAAACATGTAACAATCATTATGGAAATTGAAAAAATATATAATTTTCAGATTAGCTTTACACAGTTTATTATAGTAAGTATTTAATATAAAAATTTCAATATTACCTAT